CTTCTTGGAAACTGTCGACATTTGACCTGAAAATCGGCGAAATTTTGCCTTTGACCACTGGTGACCTGACCTTTAGCCTAACCAAAAAAGTGACCGAAGTGATTTCGTTATTATTTTTGGCGTTCTTTCGAACGCCGCCTTCCGCGAATCGCTACGTGGCCCAGGAGTCGAGTTAGAAGTGGATGTTCAAACACCCCCCCCCCCCCCCCCAGCAGGGCGTGGAAATCCAGGACCCCCAGCGGGGCGCGGGTTAAAACAATTTTGGAAAATATAAATATCTTCAATACAATGTGCGCTAACCAGTTTTCTCAGTAATTCAGCTAGCAAATATCGTGCTGTGTTGTTTACATCGAGGGTCGAACTTAGCCCGCGCCGTGCTGGCGGCCTAAGTTTTCCGTGTCGTGCTGGGGGGAGGCGTTTTCACGTCCCCGTCTAACTCGGCTCCTGGGTCAAAGGTCACGTCACCAGAGGTCATCAAAGGTAAAATGTTGCCTATTTCAACATTTTCCCAAACACTCAACGCATAACTCGGGAACCAATAGAGCTACAGCGCCACAGAAAAGCGCATTCAACAGCTCTTTCAAAGGCCTTTCCGAGTGTTGTCGTTAGATTTGACCTCAGGTCAAATATAAATCGTGACGTTAGTAACAACGCACGATACGTTAGACGCTGGCAAAACACCAATACGGGCGAGGGTTAAATCATATGTGAACCAACCAGTTTTTGAGTGGTTAACCTAGCAAACATTGTAAATGTGTTCAACAGGATGTTTACAGTGAGGGTTGAACTTGAAATAGACGGGCCATTGCACGATGGGATCGCGGGCGGAATTAGCGCGACATTGGTGGATTTGCCGCCCTTTCCCAAACTGAGTTAGACTGTTCCACGTAGTTCAGAAATGTCCAATTCCGACCATGGACCACGAATCTGCAAATATTTTTCGTCCATGGTGTATAGCGTCTGTGCCACATCAGCCCAAATACAAAGTTCTGTGATAAGCATCGTAGACCCGTTTTCGTACGGAGAAAAGTAGCAGCTAATGTAGGTAAGAAAAAATGTATATTAGACGGCTTTATCAATATTTTCGGGGTCTAACCTTTAGACCATGAAACAAGAAATGTTTAGACCATGGGCTTCACGATGGAAAGAAAAACTTATAACGGAATATATAAATACGCTTCAAATGTTAAGTTTGTAGGTGCTTTTAAAATTGTAAGTTAATTTTACTGTTATAAACATTCTAGAATGCCGATATGAAACGTCCCGCTAGGTCGCGCTCTTCTTTTATCAATATGGTCTTTACCGATCAATTGCCTTTCAGAAAATGTATAATTTAGCTGCTTCAGCCTGCTACATCGAAAATGAGGGGCATTTTTGTTTTTACTTCAGGTGGCCGGCGCTGGCCGTGCGCGGTTACCACGAGCCGGCCGGGAAGCTGAGAGTAACAGATCGACAGATCCTCCTAGGAGTCGAACAAGGCTGCCAAGTGCCAACTATATTTAAGTTTTGTCCGGAAATACCCGTACCTGCTATCGGAGTGTCTGATACACTTTTCTGACCCTCACTTTATTTGTTATATAGTCCATCAGGCTATCAGATTCCCATCATGGTTTTGGTGGCTACATTATTTGCTTATGGGAATTTCCGGTTCCGTCATGACTTGACCTGGCAGGTGATGCCATCTTATCACATGACCGAACCGAGTGAAGGTCAACGCAGGTCAACTGATTAATTAATTAATTAATTAAATGACAAATGGTTATTTAATTAAATTTATCAGGAATTGCTTCGAAAGTACACCGACTACCATTTGTATGATTCTATCATCCCTTTCATGTGAAAAGCGTGCACGAAACACGAAAAAGTACCGATGTCGCGCTAATTCTCGCTCCGGTCCCATTGTGCATTGTAAGAAATAGTTTTAGTGTCTATGCTACATATTTTGCGACCGATACCCCCTGAACCCGATTACGACTCGCTGACGAAGTTTTGTAACTACAATTTGAAAGCTCCGACCCGAACGATTTCTTGTGGAGTGAAGCTCTCATTCACTTATTGCATTAACAAACTCCACAGTCCACATCATATCTTTATGTGTAATTAACTGTTGGTGGCGGTAAACACCCATTTGGATGTCGGCGGTGACGCCTAATGGTTGAGCTGACCTGACCCCACCTACCCAAAATGCACGGATACATCGTCTTTGATCAAAACTAGCACGAAATTCGAAATCAGAACCCCGAAAAAAACTCACTAACAACCTCATTTTAAAAAGTTAAAATAGGCCACGATTTCCCTGACTTTTAAGTCATTTACCCGAATTGAAATGCCAACTAATGACTGGCGATCTTAAAATCGGGTAACATCGGCTTCCTTTAGTTGCGGTAGGACGTTCATGTTTTCGCGAAGCTATAGTTCGGTTAGGGACTGAACGATTGGGGATCCAACAGAATTCCCCCCCCCCCCAATTATATGCTAGCGGCTGAAAACGCGGTCACGGAAGGGGTTTCAAAGAGCATACAAACACGTAAGTCCTTAATCCTCGCCCGTACTGGTGTTTTGCCAGCCGCGAACGTATATGGGGGGGGGGTCCGTTGGAGAAATAGTTTGTTACGAGAGACGCCCAGTTCGAGGTTTAAAGTCCATGCTATTAAAAGCCTAATTTCAGGTATTTAAAATAATCTTGAACCGACCTGTGACCTCGGAACTCCACTTGAAGGTACTCATCAGAAGCCTCTCGTAGCGTTATTTTGTTTGCTGCCTCGCCCGTTTCGCTGCGCCTCGAGCTATGGGCTATGGGCTATGGGTTCTCGAGCTATGGGCTGGGAAAGTTTACCCCCCTCCCACCCCCACCCAGCAAGTGGTGTGTGGCGAAATACTCCAGCAGCTGCCCGGTTAACCCTCGCCCGTATTGGTGTTTTGCCAGCCTCAAACGTATAGGGGGGGGGCGGGTCCGTTGGACCGCCCCCCCTTGCCGTTTGGCCCCTGATCGAGCTAGAGCTTCGAGAAAAAATTTAAGGTTCTAGGTCATTGGTTGACTTTCCAGGTCAGGTCAATGACCCTCAAGTCTGGAAAATCGGGACCTGTTAGAACATCGTAAAGTGAGGTTGATGAGGGGTTTTTCGGGGTGCTGATCACGAATATCGTGTTAGTTTTGATCACAGATGATGTCTTAGTGCATTTAGGCCAGGTCAGGTCAGGTCAGGCCAATCAGTAGACGTCCTGCCAGGTATTCATAGTACGTGTCAGCCGTTACTGACAGCTTCGTAACATGTTACGAAGACACCAAAACAACTTCGTAAATGCTCAAATGGTTGCTTAATTCGAAATCAGCTCCAAAAAGTAGCCTAGAAACATGTAAAACTCGAAGAAGTGAACCTAGGTCATCAAAGGTCAATGATCTGACCTGACCTTCAGGTGACCTTGACACCCACCATAATGCCTGGGACCAACATCATATCACATGTTTGAACGCTTGAAACCGCAAAAATACTGCAAACGCGCGGCTAATACGAGCCGACATACGCCGAATCGCGATTCCGGCCAACCATGGTCTCGAAAAATAGGCCACAGGTCAAGGTTCATTTGGGACAGGGTCATGAACTTTTAAGGGTAGGTGTACAATTGATTGACTCGACAGTACTGAAAATTTCATCGCGATCAACCGCTTTTTACGCGAGTTATTCGCGAAAAAACCATGGGGGTGGGGGTCCGTTCGATCCCCCCCCCCCCTATACGGGCGAGGGTTAAGTCAGTTAAATTTCTTTTGCAGTTTTCAATTTAATTTACGAATTATGTTCGGGCAGCTATGGTCAAAATGAGCAGAATGCTGCTCAATGTACCAAGCGCAACTTCGTTCTCCGGCCCGCAGAGAGCGGGGATGTAAGTCAGGCACGGCCTTGGCCGTTTCCTCTGGGGCTGCGCCGTCTGCCGAGGGAGGGGAGACCTTGCCCAGTCTGAGGGAGGGGGACGACGGCGCCACCGGGACGCCCCGTCGCTCCGAGACCGGCGCTCACTGTATAAACAAGCAAAAAACGCTGGCCGTGCAAAGCTTGGCTGTGCTTTGACAGAGGAGGCATCTAGTGGAATATTTCGTAACTACACAAACTTCTAACAAAGATGTCGCTTGAAGCGCAGTTGAGATTGTAGGTTTTGATCCAACTGAAAATTGACATCTCAAGGACGACAAAATGTTGTAAATTTATATGAAATGGTTTTGTATGATGCGTACTTTGATTAATGCCATTAATTTTCCACTGCCTTTTTGTGTGAAACGATTTTGTACCTTGCTATTTTGTATGACACGATTTTGTATGCTGCGCTTTTGTATGTTTTGACTGTCCCCTACCCGGCCTGTTTTGTAGGTTTTGCGCGTTGTATGTTACGATTTTGTATGTTTTGATGATTGTATGATAAGATTTTGTATGCTTTGATATGGAGCCTTTGGCGGGCACGTTTCCATTCTGTCGGCGACAGTTTGGTAAACACGAACCGTTCGCCTGCACTGGTGGCCAGAGGCGACCGACGCCGCTGGCTGCTGAGTGACGGCGGCGCTGAGCGACGGCGGTGCTGAGGGGAGGGGTGCTGAGGGGAGGGTGCTGAGGGAGAGGAAACGCTGAGCGGGGAGCTGAGAGGGAGGAGACGGCTCCATATCATCATATGTCTCCTCCCTCTCAGCTCCCCGCTCAGCGTTTCCTCTCCCTCAGCACCCTCCCCTCAGCACCCCTCCCCTCAGCACCGCCGTCGCTCAGCGCCGCCGTCACTCAGCAGCCAGCGGCGTCGGTCGCCTCTGGCCACCAGTGCAGGCGAACGGTTCGTGTTTACCAAACTGTCGCCGACAGAATGGAAACGTGCCCGCCAAAAGTGTTGTTTTCCATATGTCCGTATGCGAACGGACCTGGTGAATCGGTCTCAATTTCCGAGCTCGTAGTTAAACATGTACTCCGACGTGATCAATATCGCCTGGCGCATGCCTAACGAAACGTCATATGCCCTGGCAGTGAAGGACGCGATTCATCTGTCCTTGCAATGAAGGACGACGAGGCTTCTGAAGTCAGTGCTGCACTAGCGCTGCACAAAAACTTGAAACTATGTTGTCAGCAAGTAGCGTGATTCGGTCGTATTGTAACCATTCACTGTCAAAAGGAAACGTTGGTTATTCGTTGTTTTTAAATGCTCTTATATTCTACAAAGATCTATTTTTAAGAGCACATTTCCAATTAAAAGCGAAAGTACTCTTATTTCCGAATTACTGATAAAACTACATCGTTAAGAAATGAATGTGTACGTAAACACGTTTTGCTTACCATTACCTAGCCTTGTTCGTTCTCTCCTGCTTGTTGGCATTATGTGGACTGACAATGGTGCGATTCCGGCAATTTCATCGGTAGTTGGATGACGTTAATTGTATTTTACGTCACACGAGTCCAGATAAACAAAGACATTACACGAATCTGTGGCTTGCGTGGGTAATCTCAGCGAGCAGCTGTCGACAGTAAATAATTTGGAAGAAGCTCTCCGCAGCAGCATATATATGTACAACTGCGTTGCTGGTCATACATACAAAAACAAGCACGTGTGGTAGGTAAGTACGAACATGGATCGTTTTGGTTAGTTTTATCGTTATCGTATTATCGTATTGTATTAATGTATCGTATTATCGCTAGTTTGGCAAAGTAAGGTTATACCATGCGCATATGTAATAATGGACACCGATAGCCCTCCATGCTCGGATGGTACGGTATAGTGGTGTCAATCGGTTACCAAAATTTCGGTATACCGATACCGAACCAAAACCGATTCGGTATTCGGTATGATATACCAAAAGCATTTGGTATTTTGTCGGTATCATGAAAATCAACTACTGCCATAAAAGATTTGAAAGCATTTTTAATAAACCTTCTGAACTCAAATTTGATTTGCTAAATGACACTGGATGAAGAAAAATGGTAATCATGACACATTTCTCCCAAATGCATGATGTCCTAACAAATGGGCAAACACATCAACTGTAATATCAAATACATCAGTCTACCAATGTTAAAATGGCAACTTATCAGTGTTAGCAAATTCCAATACCACGAGGATAGTTATCTTACAAAGAAAGCCAATGTGCAAGACATGAACATGAATTAATGTTTAACTCACTGTATGCTGGAAAACATACTTTAACTGCCTTTCTCAAAATTTCCAAAGCATTTATTAGCAACAAATTTGACTGTTTTGAGGAGTCTGTGATTGATCTTGACCTTGTCTTGCTCTCCATTTCACTGCAATGCAATTACATTATCCAAAACCCTGTTTAATACAGCACTAGCTTCACCATTATCATCTAATATTGAAGGCAGCATTTGTCACTTCATCATCATCCCACAAATCTTCAACTTCGCTCAACTTCAAAAAGCCTCTGTAGTGAGCGATCCTGTCATGAACCTGTGGATAATTTATTTTCTTCAATTAGTGTTCTCTTTCCTGCTCTCCTCAACAGATACAGATCGCTATCAATGTTATCATAAGCATTCATAAAATATAGTTGGTTTTTGGCTTGATTCGCACACAGCAGTTTAAAAACTGAACACATCTAAAAACATTTCAATGTCGCAGCTGCGCCAAGTACCGATGTAGTTCAATACCTAATTGAAAATAATTGAACAACTCTGTTTTTCTGGTACTTCATTTTTCAGCAAAAGCGGCCTACAATCTTTCTTGAATTAATTTTAAGATGTCAAAATTTATACAAGGAATTTTGATTTAAGTGGACTTAAGCAAAAACAAAAGAAAAACTTTATTTTATACAGTTTAATGCAAATGGCCGCCGCCTCTAAGGCCGCCATTATGGAAGAGATGACACGTGACGTGTGTCAATGATTCCGTAAAATTATGGACATTTTACTTAGATTTCATCGCGATATCATAACAGTGGTGTCTGCTATCTATCAGTGTGTCTCGTAAGTAATCATTTATCAAGTTTTGTTGTGTTAAACATTTGTTTATGAAGAAAAATTGGCTGCGTCAGTATCGTCACCAACCACCATGCTACTTGGGTTGAACGGTTAAACTGTAGGTATTATGGGTTTTGTTTACATTAATGGTGCAGCCCAAGGTGTAGCCCATCATTGTCAATTGGGTCACCACTTTTGGATCATGATAACACACTTAACCCTGTCTTGACCGGACTCGAAATGAATGACTTGAATTGAAAGAACGTTTGATGGTTCAGGCATGGACAAGATTCAGGGTTCAAGTTATTGTTCTAACACCTCATGCAGATGACTTGAATCCACATTCCAGTTAAATAACTGACCTGAATATTTGTTAATAGTTACAAAATACAGTTAATTTTTTTTTTGCAAATGCAGTGCAACTAATTAAGAGATTGCCTGATTTGTTTTTGTTACCTTATTTTAAAGTATTAGGTACCTTTCAAGGCTTATCATATGTCTTGAGAAAGTAAAGCACATGTCTGATAATTCCCTGATTTCGGTATCTAGTCGGTATTTCCCCCTATTTCTGAAAATCGGTTCGGTTTTGGTATACTCTCAGTGGTTTTGGTCGGTATCGGTTTGGTATTGGTTTCCAAAATTTCTGAAATTGACATCACTAGTACGGTATCGTAAATTGATTCAGAACTAGTCCTCTTGTGAGCAACCTCTTAGGACATCCTGAAGAGCACGCTGATGACTACAATAAGCCTTTGGAAGTTCAGCTTTTGACGGCAGCATTAACGGAAATTGCTTCCATCCTCATCAAGTCTGGGTTGAAGCGTCCGGCGTCCTCGAATGAGATAAAGCCGGCAGAGGAAATGCATCTTTGTCAGACGCGTAGCGCATTCAGAAGTGCCGAGAAGAGTAAGAGGTTCACAGGATTTACTCAGCGCCTCAATTTCGCCATGGTGATTGGTGGGATGTATCTCGTAAACAAGATCTACAGGACCTGGTAGAATTGAAATTAGCAGACCTTTTATCTGAAGGTGAGAGGAAGACTTAAGTTTTTTTTTGTTACAAGTGTAGTACAAAATAATATCAGCCTCTGTAAATCATTATATGAAGGCATTGGAGGTTTAGACTACCAGGTGAGATCGGTTCACAGGGCCACCAGTCTTTCATAGCCTCAGTTTTTGTCCTTAGCGATCAAATGACCGGTAAACATTTAATGCATAGACATTTTTGTGTGCTTTCGACCACAGCAGAAGTAATGTGGGGTTTCAGTCATGGGTATGTTCTGCTTCTGAAGCTTAGGAACGATTAGCCAGACTACAATGAAACTTTGAATGTAGCTTATATGTATCGTCACCCTTGCAGCCAGTGGCGTAGACAGGGGGGGCCATGGGGGCCATGGCCCCCCCTTTCCGCCCAGCCGCCCAAATGGCGCCCCAATTAGCGCCGACTAGGCTGATGCCGTTTTACAGAGAGAACATGAATTAAAAAGTGATGTGCAGGCAGGGATCGAACTCAATATCTCTTTGGGGGTGCCTGGACACCTAAATAATCTCCAGGGCACCCCCAAATACGACCTGAGCCCCCAAATGTTGAAGGGCGCCCCTCCGGAAACCAGAATATTCCGAACCTCCAGGGTCGATGGCGCCCCTGAAGAGCCGCTGGCACCCACCTAAACGGAACAGTCGCCCCATTAAAGCTTGATGGCGCCCCTCTAGAGCACCCGGCGCCCCTCTGAAGTTCACAGCTGCCCCAATCGACCCATCCAAGATCGATCCCTGAAACCACTGGCGCCCCTCTAAAGCACCCGCATTCTTCTCAAGATCACAGTCGCCCTATCCGAGATCAATAGCGCCCTCAAGAGCCACTAGCGCCCCACCCCCTTGAGACTGAAGTCGTCCCGCTTGAGACTAAAGTCGCCCCATTCAAGCCCAATGACGCCCCTCCAGAGCGTCCGGCGCGCTTCTGAAGATCACGCCCATCTAAACGAAAGTTACAGCTGCCCCATCTTAAGATCGATGGCAGCCCTCTGAAACCAATGGCGCCCTTCTAGACTACCCGGCACCCCTCTGAAAATCACATTCGCCCCATCCGAGACAACGCCCCTGGAGACTACAGTCGGCCCACCCAAGCTCAAGCCCCTCCAGAGCCTCCCTGCGGCGCCCTGCTGAAGGCAACAGTGGCCCCATCCATGCCCAATGGCGCCCCTCAACGCCGTTCTAAAGATCACAGTCGCCCCATCAATCCGAGGTCGCTGGCGCCCCTCAAGAGCTACTGGCGCTCACCTGAACCGGGGCTTCAGTCGGCCCATCCTTGATCAATGGCGCCCCTCTGAAACCACTGATGCTCCTCTGAAAATCCCAGTCGGACCATCCGAGATCAATGGCGCCCCTCCAGAGCGTCCGATGCCCTACTGAAGGCAGCAGTGACCCCATCCAAGCATTGCACCCCTCTAGAGTACCCGGTGCCCTTCTGAAGATCACATTCGCCCTATCCGAGGTCGTTGACGCCCTCCAGTAGTCACTGACGCGAAACTGAATTGGATACTTCGGTCGCCCCCCCCCCCCCGAAACCACTGACGCTAGGCAATTTTTTGACAATGGGGCTTTCTCATCGACACCAAGGGCCCTTTTCAAGATGCAGCAGCTAGGCGGCGCCGAGCTGGGCTTGGATGTGCCAAGCGAAGCGTTCCTTATTAGGCAGCCTTGTAAGTGCCACCCTCGTTGCGATACCGCCCCTCAACGCGACGCTGCCCCTTCACCGTACAATGCCACCCCTCAATGCAAGTTGCGCCCCTCAGCGCTGTGCCGCCCATTATTGCGATGCCGACAGCGCCTAGCAGTGGGGTGCCGCCCCCAGCGTAAGCGTTTTTTTATTGAACCTGCTGGGGGTGTTCGAACACCCACTTCTAACTCAGCTTGTGGGCCACGTCGAGACACGCAGTAGGCGGCGTTCGAAAGAGCGTCAAAAACTATTACAAAACTACTTAGATCATTTTAAGGCTAGGTCGAACTGGTCGAAGGTCAGGTCACCAGCGACAACCGAAAATCAAATTTCGCCGATGTTGACATTTTTTGACAAAGCGGCGCATAAGTCAGGATTCAGAAAGAGATTGAACTACAGCGCCGCAGCAAAGCGCATATTCGATAGCTCTTTTTTATGCTCTCTCTTATTGATTATCTCAGATTTGACCTAAGGTAAACGTTTTAGCCTCAAAATATACGTTTTCGCGGAGGACGTTTACATTTTGCTCAGACCTGCATGAGATTAGTTCAACCAGCATCGTGTTCCATTTTTCGAGACAG